GGGGGGGGGGGGGGGGGGGGGGGGGGGGGGGGGGGGGTTGTTGCGTGCGGGCTGACTTCGACTTGACACTTCTTTGGCCGTTAAGCAAAAAGACAACAGAGCTCGTATCGACAGCATTACCAAGAGGGGACACAAGGGAGCAACAAACACTGAGGCTGTATGTACTCACAACGCCGTGAGCTTGAAGCCCATGAGGCAGTGCCTGAGGAGGACGTAGTGGTCCATCCCGACCATCTTGAGCAGTTCGGAGTCGTCCACCTTGCCGATCGACCCCAGCCACGAGAACGGTCCTGCCAGGTACAATACAAGAGCAAGAACGGCAAACAATCAAACACGTACACCACACAACGCACGAGATTCGCTTTCGGAAAAAAAACAGAATACACAGGCCTATGCATAGATTCGCAGATGACACACGAGATTTCGTCATTGGACAAAACACAAAAGGAGACACACTTAGGACACACATGCATCCATGTATACGCATGGGACGAACGAGATTCATTTGGGCAATGAAAAAATGGTAAATGTACAACCCAGACGCCAAACCAGGACCCGGCCGAATCGAAAAAAACGCAGGCGAAAAACATCGTCTGCTCTTGTTGTTAAGAGTTTCACCCATATCGTAAATGACACAAGATAACACACCCCCTGGACCGATTTCCAAATCTCGGTTTCTCAACAACAGAAAGAGTCACGCCGCCGAAAACGGTGGCGTTGGAACCGTCTCGTCGAGAGCTTTCCAAAAATGTATCGTTTCGTTTATGCATCTTCTGCGTCGTGGAGTAATCGAGCATTGAAAACTGGTCGAGGGGGTGTGTTATCTTGTGTCATATACGGTAAGTACATACCGTGTCCAAGAAATAGGAAAAACGGCGGTTAAGTTGCAGTGCAAGGCATACCTGCGCTAGGTTCACAAGGCGTGCGGTGAGGCCGTTGGGTCTGCCTCGGCTGCTCCAAGCCAATCATTGGTGATCATGTCGTGCAGGTGCGAAGGGGTGACGGGGAAGCACGGGAAAGGGCGGCGGCGGGGGGTTGGGTCGCAAATAATGAGGCTTGAGAGGCGGGAAAAGGAGACAGGGGGAAAACAAAACCCATCAAACATGAACATTTGCATTCACGCGTGAGAGAGGCGAACATCACATACGAGAGAGGCGAACAATCAGGACACACGTGAGAGACGATCAATCAAGACACGTGAGAGAGGCGAACAATCAAGACACACGTGAGAGAGGCGAACAATCACGACATAGGGAGGCCCGCACGCATGAAGGGTGTGCATACCAACCGAGCAACATTGCTGCTGCCCGGCACCGCTCCCCCCGCTTTACAGCTCATGAATTTTCTTGTCCCTGGGGGGGGTGGGGCGTTGCTCGATTTACGCTCGTGGGTGACAGAAATAAATCACACCGTCCTCCGGGACCGATTTCCAATGTTGGGCTACTCCACCATCTCGAGGACGCATGCATTACACGATACGTTTTCGGAGAGCTCATGACGAGGCGGTTTCAACGCCGACATTGTCGAAATTGGCCATCATTTCTGCCGTGGAGTAAGCATGCCTCCGAAGTCTTCGGTCACCTAGACACGAGTGGTATCTTTGTAGTGCCGCTCGTGCGGGGCTTGCGCGGAATTGCTTGTCGTGTACATGTATGCACATTTGTTCACGCATTCGCGATACTTTGTTCACTCCTCGCTCGTTTTTCCCTCTGGATCGCTACTGTTGTCCATCCCCCCCCCAACAACAGACCTACATACTATTTACTCGTACGTTCGACGGCAAATAACCATCAACCGCGATAACATATTGGACGATCATCCTCCTATACTGTAAGGTGAAAAAAAAGATTAATTGCAAGGCTCGGGAGATACACATTTGCGAGCTACAACCATGGACGGTACAACAATCAACTGGTCCCGTACAACGACGTGCAGCAAGGTAACCTCTCACTCGAGACATCGTTGTGGCTCTAATCACACGCGCTGTAGGTTGCACCGCTGTGCGGCATGAAATCGAGATAGGTGCAAACCCTGAAGTCACTGCTGTAGTATGCAACTCTGCCCACTGCTGGGCATGCAGGGAGTACGATTGGCTGAGACACCATGAAGATAGAAAAGCGCGATCCATTCAGTCAGTCTTCGATAGGCAAAACCTTCAACGCCAACTAACTTTAGTCTCGTTGTAACGTACCCTTCTGACTCATTTTGAGAACTTCCGTGAAATGTATTTTTGTCCTGAAAAACGACAACTCCGACAAAAAATCAGTTAGTGTTGGATGCATCTATACAAAAAAAAAAAAGGGAAAGAGAAACCCCTTCCTCTTGAACCCACTTATTGCTAAGCACACAAACGTATTATAATATGCATACCAGTGTGGGTGTGTTGACACGTTGCCATGCGTAAATGCGCCTTAGAAAGGCTGGACGTATCACGTGAGCCGTCATATTATATAGAAGTACTTTGTAGTATATTAAAAAAAAATCAAAAAGAACGAGGCCAACATCAACATCGCATGTCCTCAAACACTGCGGGGGAACATCAACATCACGCCGCGGCGGTGTGAAGCGTGGCGAAACGCCGGTGTGGCGGACAATACAAACGGCGATCGAAATGACAAACGCACGACCCCCAGAGTGTCCATGGAGCGAAGCAGAAGGAGAGCAAGCGGTGGCGAGCAAGGGCATCGTCTATCCTGGTTCATACTCCGTTTACCCACAAAAAATATCCTGACCTGACTTAGGGGGAGTACAAGCTGGCTTTCATGGAAGGAATATCAAGTGCATACAGCAGTGTTCTAGATCTCAAGGTGCCATGCCCCCGCGTTCAGCAAGCAGCAAGCTGTAACTACACCGAGGTTTGAAAACACAAGTCCGTGTAAACCATCACACACGGACGGTTTCTGCCCAGCGCTGCAACTACTGATGATGCTGTTTGCCGGTCTCCAAGGCGGGCACCACGTCAAGGCGGGTCCTCGACCGGTACATTATTATTGTTGCTTATTCATGTTGAAGGCAGTGAGAGCATGGCGCAGCAACACCATCATGGACTACGCATGTGTTTGAAGTTGGGATCCCACTTTAAATTACACGAACAAGTGCGACATCAGGTCTCCCTAATTTAACGAGAAAACACCCAAGCGTGTCCGGTCAAGTGATGCACATAGCAGCAGCAGCAGCGGCGGCGGCTGCCGTTTGAGCCAGCAACATACAACCACGTCAAAGTTTTCTTCTCGAAGGCGGTCGAAGTTGCACCGCTCCTCTACCGGCTCTCTCTTTTCGTTGACCACAAGTTTATTGGGGTCGTGAGCAAAGCGAGTTTGAATCCATGCCAAGGCTGAGTCAAGTCGTGCGCGGCGCGCGCGTAAAACGCGGGGAATCGACGCGTGCACAACCACAAAGGAAAGGGCGCCATAAGCACCCGCCGATATCCTTACAGGAGGACATTTACTCTGTGAGGCCTTGTGCGCCCACCCCTGATATAAAAGATGTTCGACGCCACTTTGAATATAGAAAAAAACAATTAATACTCGGAAAAATTCTCAAATCGCACCTAAGGGGCACACCAAACCAACACACCTGGTAGATGCCGCGCTTGTTCTTGTTCCTTCGCCAGCACTCGAACAGGGCGTACACGATCACGCCCTACACACAGCGGTAGAGGGGCACAAGGGAGGGGTTCTTGTCAAAGAGGTCTAGATCGCGGACGGCCAAAGGAGAACTTCATTCGCTCGCCGTTGGTTTTCGCGCCACGGATCACATGCCACGGATCACAGATACACAGATTGATGACGCCGGAAAGCCATCTCTCCTCTCTCGACCTTCTCGCCCTCCCCAGAGGATATGTTCTTCTCCGAGAGATGCCGTACACGACGACGACAGCTGGAGCCGACCGACCCGCGGATCATGTCGAAGCTGTTCTCACGCTCCCTGCCTTGAGACACCCACCACGCCGACAGCGTTGGTTTGTCCAGCACCCTCGACCATGCATGCAATCAACTGACCTCGATTTGGTCATGTCGGCACGATAGGGTACTCAGAATTCCCTAATCAACTCGGCGCGAACCTGCGTGATCGCACCTGCAACGCCGCGAACGCAGCGGTGGAGATCACCGGAGACCACTCCGACGAGGTCTGGTCGTCGTCTTCCATCCTTTACAAGATCGTCGGTACCCTCTCTGTCTCTCTCCGTGCGAAGACCACGCTAGGGCGGCTAGTGGTGTGGCCCTTTCGCGCTTTCGCCGGCCAACGGCTGCACTCCTCTCGCTCTCAGGCAAATGACGGCTTCCCGCTCTTTTCACGCGCGCCGCTTCCCAAGCGTCTCCTACGTCTCGGCTATGTTGTCAGTTCGCCGCACACTCACTGTCCTGTTGTCAAGTAGAATTGTTAATGTTGCATGCAGAGGCTGGTCCACAGGAGCGTGCCCCCAAGAATAGGAGCTCCGCCAAATGCTCACAAACGCCCCTCGTATTTTCGTCCCCGTCTGACAACCCCCCATTCCCAGTCCCTTTCGTGCTGCGGTAACCACCCGCTGCTGTGTACACACGCACGTCATTCGGCTGTGGCTGCCGCTGGCGCTATCTTCCTCCCTAAGCTGGTAGCGAGTATCAGTGAGCAAGGGCAACACGGAGAACAAGAGCGAGCAGGCACATGCACATACAAATCGTTTCGCGCACTTTTTTCCTCCGCTTTTTCTTTTCAAACCTGAGCAATCACGCGCGTATGCATGCTACGGCGTAAAGGTGCTGGTGCCGAGAGCAACAGAGACAACAGGGCGTCTTGGCTTGTTGGTGGTGAGCATTGGAGTTATGGTGAGATAGTTGAAGTAGGTTGGAAATGGAATCGGCCTGTAGGTGCTCCCTGTAGAGCAGTCGCTGGATCCTTTTCAGATATTCACCTCCACAGCTGGTTTGACGTCTGATACATCAGCGACCCCCCCTTCTCCGTTCCGGCTGTCAGCAAGCTTGTGTGCGATGAGGTTATCACGATGCCGGCTGCTGTACCTGTGCTGCGGGATCACCGTCACCGCCGGTCTATTTGCCGCATTGCTACGGCCAAGCACAGTGACAGAATACACATCTGCTGCGGCGAAGCTCTCGCCCTCCTCGCAAATCCCCACCGGCGTGCATGTTGAATTGGACGCCCTTGAGGCCGCTGACCCTGCCGCTTCTGCTGCCGCCGTGGCAGCCATCGATTCAGCCAGCCCGAAACTCTTACAGGTGCGAATGCTGTGGGATTGGGGTCTCTCACTGCACCTATATACCTGTCGTAGGCTTGCTTGCATCCGAGCGAGGAGGTATGCGATATGTATAGGTAACATGCACAGAAGATCCTGACTCGGTTTGTGTACAAAGTACCAACGGCGCAACGGCGGCGAGATTCAGCGGGATTGAAATTGCGGGGTGCACGTGTGTGCTGCAGTAACTACGCCGCTGGGCTGCCCTCGCCGAGGGTGGGCCGAAGCCCGCCAGTGGGTTTAGACCACGCAAAGACCACCACGGAGACACGAGCTTAAGCCTCGAAGGGAAGGTAGTCCCGAGTTTGGTGGATAAGATTTACCGATGTCGCGAGATCGGGGTATCTCTCGTTGGACAAAATCGGGCAGGAGCATCGTGTTGAACCCTAATGTCCCGGTTTGGACAACATATAGTTTGGACACCGGGGTTTAGCAGCAGCGGAGAATGCAGGGGGGGTGGCCCGGATAGGAATAGAGGGGCTGCACACTGCGCGGAGATGCATGAGAGAAACGAGCAAGGAGTGGAGTCGGGCAGCGCAGGAAGGTTGTACCTGCCTGCGAAGAACGACACGAACGGGGCGAACAGCAGACACCTAGCCAGAAAATCCAAACGGCGACTTGGCGAAAGCAAAAATCCCTTCAAGACCGGGGTCTATCGTGTCCTGGTTAGTTTTCTCTTTCGTTTGGGTAAAAAGTCGCGTCTTGGAGGCCTTTTCTGGGGTCCATTTTTTTTCGTCTAGAAAGGTGTGCCCCTTTTTTGGGTTGTTTGCTTGTGACCACGGAAGGCGTCCACGTCAGTTGGACCAATACGGACATAAGAAGGTACTGAGCGGAGACCGGGACGGTTGATAATGTGAAGACCAACGACAACAACAACAATGGAGGGATATGATCGGCCGCTGCTGTACACATCACCTCGACAGTATATCGATCAAATTTGAGCGTAATCCAATATATCAATAAAAAAAAAACGTCGCGTCTCGAAACGAAGTAAATTGTTACGCCGTAGATTGCACGTGGGCACAAACGGCTACCAAGAGTATTCTGACGCTCCCGACCATGGGATAAGTGTTGTGTGATGGAGCAAGCTGCCACTGCTGTACAAAGAGCCAGCGGTTCTCGACCATGTTCGGGCCTGTCCCCAGGCGACCGAAGTATTTCCGGCACAAACTTGCGAGGGAGCGGCCGACAGTGATTGTTGTTGTTGTCTCAAGTTCAAACCCGTTTTGGTCTTCTCGAGTACCTGCTCCTTCGTACCTCGTACCACATAGATGTCGAGTTTCCACGGTGGCAGTAGTAAGGCTGACCCAGAACAAAGCCACAGCAGTAGCGGCCACGGTCTAAGAGAGGGTCGTGACAACCTTCAAAAATATCTCTTCTGGTAGTTTTCAGGAATGTTCACGGTGTGGCAACGCACCGCGGTGCGTTTTTTTTGTATCTTGACATGTTCACGGTGCGGTGCGGTGCGGTTCAACGTCGCACGGTCTTTTTGACGGTGCGGTTTTTTCTACCCCGTGACAAAAACCGCGCGAACCGCGGCCTTGGCGGCGGTGCACCGTCGAAGAACACCGCGGAGAATACTGCGGTTGTCCCTGACAAAATGAAGGGGTCTCCATGATGTTTATTTTTCGTGGAAAACGTTAGGTCTAGTCCATTGAATAGGTCGACACCAGAAATCCCGCGGCTTGCGGTCAGAAAACCCGAAAACGCCAGACAAAGGAGAAGCTACTGAGAATTTAGTTCATTTTCCCAGTAACCATACGTTCCTACAACACGCATCAACATCAGCTACATTCCTCACTTGCTTTTATTAATACTGCTGTTGTTGGAATATGCGAATATGCTAAAAGAAATTAAGAAAAAATCTGGCAGCAACGCCACGCGGCTCATGTTCGCCACTGGCTACAACCCGCGAATGCGTTGAAGACGATGCGCTGAACGCTGCGAACCGTCTTCGGGGTGCCCCCAGTTTGCGCGGCATCAACAGCACCAACAGCAGCGGCAGAACCACCGGGAGTAGGAGATGAACGCGTGGCGACCACCTCTCTGCAAGAGGCTGGTCGCCATCGTCGGGGGGTGACTCCATCAGAGATGGGCGGAGCGTGCCGCAGCCGTGGCGGTGTGTGTGTGTGGTGTGGGGACACGGTGTTGCGTGCTGGTTCAAAAAATAAAAAGATCAATGTTCAATGGTCCTGGAGTGTGTCTGCACGACAAAACCGTGACTTACCTGCATTTTTTCCCGCGGTTTTACCGAGGTTTTATCGCGGTGTACTGCGGTTTTGGCTACGGGGTGGCACAAACCGCACGGAAATAGAACCGCAACTACGGTTGTTTGTGATTCCTTACGATGCGGTGCGGTGCGGTGCGGTGCGGTGCGGTTTTTTTCATCTCGAAATATGACCGTGCGGTGCGGTGCGGTTTCGTCGTACCACGGTGCGTTGCGGTGCGGTTTTGTGCATCTCGATATTTGACGGTGGGGTGCGGTGTTTTTTCATCTCGAAATGTCACAGGGCGGTGCGGTGCGGTTGAACCGCACCGCACTGCATCGCACCGTCGAGAGAAACCGCACCGTGAACATCCCTGGTATTTTTGGACTCGTTCTCTACGGATAAGAGAGAATTGCTCTAATTTTTGGTGTGTTCGCTGGATGTTTGAGAGAAAAAATACAGTCCGGTTCTGCGCGCACTGGCGGCGTACGCTCTCGTTGTAGCATCTTGAACTGTACTACATATGCAGTACAGATTTGTGCGAGTTTCGTGGCCGTGACAAGCCACCCTTAGTCTCTTAAATTGGTACTTGCTGCATATTATGTCTTACTCCGCAGTCGATACTCTGCACGAATACAAAGAGCATACTCAGAGAGGCTCCCACCACTCGCGGAAACATGGATGCAGCAGGTGGTCCTCAGTCTTCACCGTCAATGAAGACGTCGTAACATCAACTCGAAGATATCTCGGGGTAGTTTCTCTGCGTTACCGAATACTTTTGTGGTAACAACATGACTTCATGAAAATAAGTATGGTTGAGGTTCAACTGTCGCGGAGGCGTTTCCTTCTGTTTTCATGAGGTTTGCGGTAGTTGCGATCCTTAACGTTGCCTGAACTAGGTCCTCTTCGCCCACCCATGCACTCTCTCCGGTGTTCGGCGTTGGCGTTCCACGTTTATGGGTGCGTGTGTGTACTCATTGTCGCGTATGCCGTTGTCGTTAGACCATTGATCTCACATCCCTACGAAGCTGGGACGGAGCACGCCCGGTCCTCACCGGACCAGGCTCTCACATCACCAAGCGCGAAGCGCCGTGAGGTATTCGGCGAGTCGCATGGAGGGTGCGCTGCATCCTGCTAAGGGTGTTCGGCATCTTGTGCTTACTTCCTTGCATACGAACCACAGCTGCTAATGACTTTCTTTATTTTCTGGTGCTTTCACTTCCAGAGACAGTGGTGAACACTGTGTAACTGCCTCGAGGGTGCTTGACCAATGTAACACAACGAGGTGCGATCATCCCCTTTGCGCGGAGTGAGGGTTCTCGACGCCGCACAACATAATCTACTCGACCACCGTTTATGGTTACCACAAAAAAAAAACAATGGCAAAAAAAGAAAGCGGTGCAAGTGAGGGTTCTCGACCCCGCACAACATTATCTACTCGACCACCGTTTATGGTTACCACAAAAAAAAAACAATGGCAAAAAAAGAAAGCGGTGCAAGTGAGGGTTCTCGACCCCGCACAACATTATCTACTCGACCACCGTTTATGGTTACCACAAAAAAAAAACAATGGCAAAAAGCGGTGCAACCTGGTTGCCGAGCTCACGTGATCGGATTGTTTAATAACGTCGTTGTCAAGCGACAAAACCCCAACCCCGATGGCGACGGGGGGATGGGGGGTGTTGTCTGACACGCGTATTGCCTTTTTGATCCCCCCTTCAACTTCTTCTTCTTCTTCTTCTCTCCAGGAGTTGTATCGCCTGGCGCGAGATGACGTGCTGGGGATACTTGGCGATGACGATGGGGCAAAGGCGTGCGTCAACTGGAGAAAAAAGCCTAACCAGGGGTGCACCGACCCCAGCCAGTGCGGAAAAGGTGGCCGTCTGTTCCCCCTGCCCAATGCACTCGTGTATGTAGATTTTGCTTCTGGAGTTTCCTGTGCACCATGAAAGAGAGTGTGAGCGCGAGACAAGCGTGTGCATTCGTCGGCGTGAATCATGGGTTGCGGCTGATGTGCGGCGTGGCACCACATCAGCAAGAGAGCGCGTGACGCATCCCGGCCGTTCGTTAGAGCTGCCCCACCACGCAGAAACAGTGTTGCTGTTACAGCGATGAACACCACTCACCGCTGTCGACTACTTGGTGCTTCTGCTGCTCGTTCTTCTCGTACCGGTATGCCTTGGATGCTCGTCGTAGTCTTTGCGTGACCAAGACCCGTCCTGAACCTCAACAGCAGTACCCACCAGCCATCGACGAGAAACGGAAACGAAGGGCTCTCGCCAGAAAATACCCTTGCACCCCAGCACATTGCAAAAGCCCTTTGCGCGACAAACGTGGGCTCTGCTCGCGAGGTAGATGAAGCGTTAGTTAGTAGTCCCGAGGATGTACGGCGATTGCAGTGGTGTTAGTGCTGGCGATGGTGATCGGTGATGGAAACACCCGTGACGACGAACCGGTGCAGGGTGGCTGTTCCGGCGAAAGGGCTTGCTGCTAGCCGTGATGTATACCCCAGGGGGCGACGACAGCGAAGACCCTTCAGTTGCAACAACCGCCGTCCAAACAAGCAGCGGGACCGCGGGAAGCGGGGGTCCCACAGATTGGATCCATGTCGCGGAAGTAGGGGACAGGCGGGAAGGACTCTCGCCGCATGAATGGAGTGCAGGGACGCCTGGGATGATGACCGTGGTGGGGTTGAGGGACGGGGCGGACGGAGAGCTGTCCGACTGCAACAGCCGAGACCTCAGCATGCTGCTGAGGCTGCAAGGCCCTGAAGCGTTGGCTGAGGTACTGTTCAAGGCGTCTGCGGGTAACACTGCTGCTACCACTGCTAATGCAGATCGTTACCACTTAGATAGTATGACGAATATTGTCAAGGTGTTTCGGTCCTGGTTTGCCGATACAAGCGTGATCCACGACCGTGCACGTATAGAGGGAAACCCGGGGTGGCGTTCTTGAACTTTTCTCCGACCGGCCAAGGAGTAGAGGAACTGCAAGACGCTGGCTTCCTTCGCTTCCCTTTTACAGTAATTGAAGAGACGTTTAAACTCATTCTTCCAAGGTTCCTTTCATGCCCACGGACATTTGAAGAAAAGCAGATAAGAGGATACTTGCACCGTGAACAAGACACTCTGCCTTGTGAAGACGACATCAATAATAGCAGCACGGTTTTCGTGTGCTTGAGCATATCCTCTAACCTCAAACCAACTCCTTTTGATGATTGGTTGGCCGCTGCGGCGTGACGTGCCTCCAACGAATGCGACTTTCTCTTGGTTGGCGACAAAAGGCCGCGACGCCTGTTGCGGGAAGGTGTGCGTGGACCGTGCGGTTCCAGCCCACGCTGGAGGGTGTCTACACGCTGGACGCAACGCTCCTCGACTGGAGAGGAGGCCTCGAGGCGCACCAGTCATTGTGAGCGTAACATGGCGGCACTGCTCCTGCTGCTGCTGCTGCTGCTGCTGCTGCTGCTGCTGCTGCTGTCGTTTTTTTTGTTAGCGTGACGAAATTCACCTCCAGTTGATTGCGCGGACAGCTTTCCTTGGTCGTGTTCCCGACGTGGTAGAATGTTCCCTCTTGTCACCCCGCCGGACGCGCCCCCCCCAGGGGTGTTCTTGATGTGATGACTGGTGTTGTCTGCTGGTTGCGTACGGGGAGCAAACCAGTGATTGCCCAAGTCGGCGTTTGGGCGAAAATCATTGTGCCTTGCACCTACTGTATTTCTTCATCTCTGTGGTGCCTTCGATCTGTGCGGATTTGTGTTTTAAGCCACATTCCATTGCATCGCTTGTTTTGGCAGGTGCAACGAGGTGCCCGGGCAATACGGCGAGGGGTCCGTGGAGATGGACGCTGTCAGGTGCGCCGTTCACGCCCCCGTGTTGGCGCGCATGCGCCGTTTTTGGCATGCTCTCGATCTTCTGGACGTCGTATTGCACGCGTAAAACGTGGGTACGGATCGCGCGGTTACATACACCTAGACGAGTACGTGCGGTGCAAGCAAAGAGGACGTGAAGCTAAATATACCTATTCAGCCTCTGGAGGTACAACAGCGCCAAAGCGTACAATATCTAGCATCCCATTTCCCGCAAGCTTTCATCAGGTTAGTCTTCACCGACGGGGAATAAAAATGGCAGAGCTGTCGCCTCAACTTCGTCCGAGAACGGTTCAACAGCTCGCATCGCCCCCCTCCCCATTGTAGCTGTATTCCTTTGTTTGGGATGTCGTGACGTACCGTACCATTTTGAGGTATGTTAGGGGCCTCGTTGGGCCTTTAGGGCCGCACGGGGCTAGATCGTCCGTGTACTTGCACTACCGCGCTCCCGTTCATGGAAAGCTGATTCTCTGAACTTCACTTTGCTTTTTCATTCGAGCATGAGTAAGGCGCGGTATGACTGTTTTTGGGTCTTGTTCCCCTATTTCTACGGTGGTGGGGCGGTTGTACTGACCGTTCTACCCTGCGCAACTAACTGCTCCCTTTCGTTTTCTGACCGCCCGGCACCATGGCCAAACGCACCAGGGACGGCCCTTTCTACGGCAATTTCGAAGGGTGTTGCACCCTGTGCACCCGCAGGGAAGGCTGCGTGGCGTGGTCGGCGACGGACGACCCGAGCAAGGCCCTCGTCAACGGGAGCAGGTGAGGCACTTTGGGTGGAGATGACGGCAGGTTCGATCGCAGTGGCGAGGAGGACGCTCCGGTGTTGTTCATGCCGGCATGGCATCGCTTTGCTCGGTCACGATTGTAATACCCTGCCCCGCCTCAAACTCTTTGGCTGCGGTGTTTGGCGTGCCCGGATGGAAGGTCGGTACCCGCGTGTATGGCCAATGTTTACGGGATACCGATTGGATGCAGCAGTTCTACTATATTAAGCGCCGCGAACTGCAGACCTGGTTTTGCGCAACGCGATGTGCTGGTTGCCTGCGTGCCACCACGCTATGCCATGCTGCCGCACATGGCGCCTTACGAATGAGTGTGATTTGATTGTGGTTGTTTGTGTCTTTGCTGCGGTGAATGCACGCACGTCATGCGATGTTGCGCGATGCTGCTCTATGCCACGGGATACCACGCGATGCGATATCAGGCGATGACACCCGATGTGTGACACGATGCAATACAACGATTCGATTCGGTTCTATCCGACATGATGTGATGCCCCCCCATACAGGTGTGTCCTGTACTCGTCGGTGACTCGCCAGCCTGTGGAGGACAAGCAGCTCAAGAGAGCCGTGCGCAGCGGGACGCCGAGGGCGGAGGAGTCAATGACGTACCTCGGCCCCTCCATGTCGATCGCCAGAAGGTACGGCGCACCTTGCATGCGATCGCTTGTGTATGTTTGCTGGGCTAGAGCCCGTGGTGGGGGTGGAGAGTCGAAGTTGGCGATACGATGGGGAGTTACAGGTCCTGGGGAGAATGTTGGAGTCTAGAGTAGAGAGGGGTGTTAACAACCAGAGGGTATTAGCAACCACTTTTTTTCAGTTCCTCATAAATCCTCAGCAAACTCTTGTTTAATTTACCCGTTAATTTTTTTTAATGATGTTGCCAAAGCTATCAGCAATCGTTTAAACCTACATTGTTGCAATCGGCAGAGTATTGCACGAAAAGCAGCGCTCGCCGCTTGGTGAAGTAGAAGTATTATTTTGTTCGGTTTCGAGAATTCCAGAAATTTTTGATAACAAGTCAAAACTATGGAAGGCCCAAAACATGACGTCCAATAACATGTACGTGTAGCTGGCTTAATGTATCGTCCATGCGTGTGCGAGTGTTACAGCTTCGATTCCGTTTTCCACCCTGTTGTGTTTTTTTTAATTTTTCCACATCAAGTTTTTGACCGAAAATCGACCAAGAACTACGGCCGAGCTGAAAAAGGTGACTGAATCAACTCGGATTTCGACAACAGTAGGTGACCCGTCCTATAGGTGTTCGAGTCGGGGCAAAATAAAAAATAGAGAAAAAAAAAATGTTAAAGTCACATGCGGTGTGTCCAAAACCAAGGACTTTAGGCCCTAAAGTCAGGCCCGAGAAGTAGGAGATACTCCATTTTTGTCCCCGCGTAATCATCAGACAAAATAACAAAGGTGATTTGATGTATCTACCACCAAGTATGTTGATGTGTGCCAAAGGATATGCTCTGAAAAGTCGAAATGCGTCGTAATTGAGACATGTGCCAAAGGATACGCTCCGAAAAGTCGAAACATTTACGTAATTGAGACATGTGTCAGTGATTGGGGGCGTCCATATTTGGTCCATCGTCCTAAAACACGAACCACTCGCCGCACTGGCTCGTTCGCCTCCAGTAATGTAATTTTTCAATGTACTTTTGTTTTGGCGTGCTGCTACTGACCTTTGCTATCGCCAGAGCACCCAGGATGGTTAACAACTCGTTATACCAACGGCAAACCAGCAATTGGCGCAGGGGGAGACATGAGTGGTTGTTAATACCTCTTTCTACCCTAGACAACAGTCTCTTCCTGTGCGAAGGGAGCGCAAGGATGATGCAGCGGTTTGATGGTGGTTTTGTATTGTGTTGTAAGACGACAATGACTGTGACAATCGAAATCTATCGCAACTCTGTTAATAGCCTATGCAAGAGATCGTCCATCTTGCCCAGTGGGCTATGGGCATGATTGGCGGTGGGGTGGGCTTCGTTACGCGTGCCCGCGCTGGTGGTGCTTAAAACACACGCGCGGCGGCACACGATGGGCCCACCGCCTTTGCCGTACGTGCCCTCCTCCTCGTGCCGTGAGAACGTCACACATCGAACCCTGGCGAATCGTTGGCGTCCTGTGGCGTAACTGTCCAACATCATATCGATGGCGACGTCGCTCGTGGTGGTTTTGTCTCAAATAACAATAGTACTTAAGCTCTCTATTGTAGACTTTATGCCCTTTGGATACATCTGGCGTTTGGAGCGCCTACCACGTGAGGGCCCATCACGCGAGCAAGTGCTGACTCGGAAAAAAGTGAAAACAAGTCAGTACGTTCCGTGCCGCTTCTGTAGATCTGAATTTTGGCTCTGTTGGCGGTCACCACGGCAGGTGGTGCACAGAGGACAACGGCAACATTCTGGGCAGCGGCGGCAGACGTTTCACAGTGGTGGCGGCTAGGGAGACGACGATCGAGGAAAACAAACGAGAGCAAGGAGACCGAGAAACAGAAGAGGAGGAGGTTGCCGTGGCAGCTTTAGCAGGCCTGGAGTGGGATGCGCTACCCCTGTGCAGGTTGGTGTGTCGGGTGACGGGTCGATTCATTCGTTGGGCGACCTGTGTAGCATTCCCTCGCTTTTATTGAGGAGTACCGGCTCCGTGCTCTCCACCCTCAGTCGTTTGACGTCATATATTTTGTCGGTTTATGATGGTTCCGTGATTCTTGCGTGTTTGGTTGCTGCAGTGTACACCACGAACACACGTAGTCGCAATTTTGATGGCGTTTCGCATCAATCTACGGCCTTTCCCCCCTAATCAAGGCCCGGCGGCGGTGTCCCCACAACACCACTGCCTCGTGAAGGGCGGTGGGTCAGTCTTCGTGACACCAAGTGCAACCTCTCGCCTGAAATGGTGGACCTGTGGGGCTGGCCCACGTACGACAAGGACATGTTCGGAAGCGCTGCGATGGTGGGTGGCGATCTGATGGCTTCGTCGTGGTTGTCGTGTTGATGTTTACTATTTATAGTTGGATGTAACGCTGTGTTTCATCCCACACAACCCACCCTCTTGCGAATTTTCCGTCGCGTCAGATCTCTTCGAGCTCCACGGTACGCCTGCTGCTTGCCCTCCTAATAGTAGCTAGACCTCATCTTCCACCCCCGCCCTTCCCCCTCCCCAACGTTTATTTGCACCAAATTGTGTTTGTTACTACATGCACGTGCCGCTGTTGCTCACGCAGCCAGAGGCGTGTTTCCTCAAGCCTGCTGACAGACGAAAACCCACAGGGGAGCTCAAGCATGCTCAAGGGGGGTATACATGGCAGCCCTACGACTGTCGCTACGACCTCATGGATACGGACACCCGACTTAGCTGTTTCCGCGAAAAGAACATCACTAGGTTCCTTGACTTCGGAGACAGGTGTTTGTGTGATGGTGTTGTTTCTGATGCCGAGGCACAGCAGTCTTACCTGCGAAGCGGTCTAGCCCGTGATCGGCTTCTTTTGTTGCGATTGAGTGCGTGCCGAGGGTCCACACGATGCAGACATGGAAACTCACACATCGGGAGGTGGAGGAGAGCAAATGCACCCCCCTTGTTGTGCCGCGCCTGAACGACATCATTTCGCTTGTGCCACTTTGATCAGACTACGCCTCATGACTGGTTTAAGCCGATGGTGTGTTCCACAGCCTGCTATGTGGTCCTTTTGTGCGCTGCAGCTGTGGTGGTGGTTTCGGGATATTTTTCGCTTCTGTGCACCTGATGGCCACCACCAAGTCTAAAGCCGTACTGTGCTCTGCTGCGCCCTGCGGCGCGTGTGTGGCAGCCTGATATCTACCGGCAGGATGGCACGAACCGCGTTGTGGCTTCCTACCGCGGATTCCTCGGTGTGGTCCACGGGAGGAGGGGAGAAGAAGATTGGGGAAGGGGCGAAAGAGTCAGGTCAGAAAAATCAAGGGTGGGTACGTTATTCGCGTGGTTCTTGACGGTGTTGTTGCTGCTGGGCGGCGTCACGCTGATATGCATGCCCGTCTGCTTTCTGTCATCAGCTCTAGATCTGGGATTCAAATGGCGGTGTTGACGCTGGGCCGTACGATATTTCTCAGGCGTTCTTTGAACAATTCACACCAACAGGTGCGTGTCCGAACGCATATGAAACAGTCAGTTTGTGCTCCATGTCATTTCTTGTTGCCCCGTCAACCTGGTTCTGGCTGCGCGCGACTAACGAGGACGTACCCGGAGAAAAACGCACACCGTTTTTGCGGAGACTGGTGATTTTTCACAAGACTTTGTTTCTTCTGTCACCGATGAACCTTACCTACCGACACGCTTTTTCCCATCCGGCACGAGACGACGAGCTTCCACACGCCTAATTTGTTTGCGGCCGATTGGCGAAGACGATGTATCCGTGACAGCAAAGATGATGGTGCTGTTCTTTGTGCCTAGTCCATGGGGTTAAGCTTTTCGCTACGTCTTGTGTTTCCTGTTTTCCAGGCGGAGACCACCAGACCAGCGCACTATAGCTGTGCAGGCTGTGCAGCTGCAGCACACTACGGGTTCCCGCCTTACATATTCGCCTCAAAACGGTCGAGCTCTGTAGGCTCCATTGGAGAATACTGTAGCACACAGATAAAAAACACGGAACACCGAAAGGATTGATGGGCGCACGGGGCCACAAATTCCAACGATAACAGTGTGAACTCACAGGATATAACGCATGTACTTAAATACGAAGGGCAGGGAGGTGTGAGTTTGGCAAGAACAGCGGGCGGGTCAGCAATGGGGCAACCCATGCCACATGCGTCAATTCGATCTTTACCGTCAACCAGGTTGCGTGGGCGGGCCGATCCAGTACTACGGCGAGGCCCGCCACCAGGATGACCGCGACGGGTCGGGCTCGACTGCCACAACGAACCGGTACTGCGGCGTGGAATCCTACTGGCAGGTTAAGCCGGGCCAAGTCAGGAACCTGGTGACATCGGCGAGTTGGTGTGCATGTGTTAGGCCACGGGTAGATGGATCGACTCCTTGTAGACCGTGTGACGAGGAGAGGACTAGCCGTTAGGTGGCAGACGCACGTGATATTTCCGCTGCATACCCGGTGACCCCTCTCTGGCTTTCGCAGTAAGCAGTTGCGCAGTGTGGCATGTAAATGCCACCGAGTGCGTGCCTTTTTATATCTCGCTGTCGCAAGTTTTCGTCGAAATGATATTCGATTTCTTTTTCTTCCGCTGGACAGCCGATTTCAGTGTTTGACGCACCGGTTATGTAGTTAAAACTTTGAACCTGGTTTTCTCGGCCCCTCCCTCGCTCGACCCATTGGAATTATAACAGTTCAAGCCGGATGTTGTCCTGGCGAACTGGGCACTGGTGCATCGATTGTGGCACCACACGCTCGACGAATTCCAGACGTTTCTGAAGCAGCTAGGCCGGCAGCTTGACGGCATGACAGAGCAAGACGGACACAGACCCAGGTTGGTGAATCATCGCGTCGTCTTGATGAGATCGAGTCGATGTGTGCATACCCGTGACGCGATGTACAGTGATGAAAAATGGCGATCGAGCCGCGGGGCTTGTCATGCGGGGTGCCCAAGGGCGGAGAGGGGCGGTAGCCTTTGGACACGCTCGGTACTTCTACGGATATTCAAAACCAAGTAGGCGCACATCAATGTCCATGTACAGGGACGCCTGACGGTAAACGACAACGATGATGGCGTGGTACTGCGTGTGTGTGTGTGTGCACAGATACACGTTCTGGCTTTCGGCTCCCTTCTTGGTGAGCGAGAGAGAACCGCACTGTGTGCTTGAACGAGGCCTGCAGTTCACGAAGGCGTTGAGAGGCCTGCTGGAGCCAAGGGGTTGGATCGAGGTGAGTGTGGAGATTCGTGTGGACGTCCCGTGCAATCCTGTCGGTGCTGTACCCATATGCATTGCAACGAGCCTGTGGGCCTGAGCCGTCGGCTGTGCCGGTGCGGCCACGGGAAGGAAACAGACTTGGTGTACACACTTTACAATGACCGAGGCGTGGTTGCTGATTTATTTTGATCTGTTCAAAAGTTGTGGGAGGGGCCTCTATTGCAGGCTGTGGAGGTTCGAGACCTCGATCCGGGTTGACCAAGTGGGCGTGGCTCTTCGTCTTCTTGCCTTTCACTCATCTCTTGCATCACAGCACCACATAAACCACTAGTCATTGGATTTCCTGCCGGAGTTCTGTTAGGGTTGGGCTTGGGTTGAGGCTAGGGTTGGCTACGCTCACTTTCCGAGTGAGTCGGGATTCTTGTAGACCCGCCGAGGTTGTTTTTGACTTCGACTGTCCTACAAAAACACAAGTATGTAAAATTAAAGAAAACACCCGGTGTACATCTACTTTGCTGTGTTTGTTGTTGGTATGAGTTATACCCCGTTTGCCGCGACGTCCTCGACGGTTGTGCAGATAAATTGGGTCAGCATGACGCGGAAATGGGGAGTGGATATCTTGGACGGCATGCACCACGGAGAGCCGGCAACCCGAATGCTGGCGTACTTGTTGATGCACCACGTATGCCACGCTTCCGATAGCGACCGATAGCACTTCAGCTCGTGGACAACAACCACACCCACGACCACCGGTGGCCTTCAGAGAAGCTTGGAAAACCTCAATGCTCCCGAAATGGGGTCCTGGCGGCTTGGAAGTCGTGAAGATTATTCAGATTCCCTTCGATATTGCTGGGAGCAGGAACGATGAGGCAATCTCCCTGCTTGGATTGCGTCGGCGTGTAGCCACGCTCTCGGCGCCTCTTGGGGTGCACGACCCCCAAGAGTTTATTTTTCAAGGGACGCGAGGCGGTATTGGTGTTACCGTGTTATTTAAGTAAGCGCCGTCCGCACGAAACAACGCGTCGTAATCGGCAGGTCGATTTTTTTCGTACACAAGGGGCATGTGTGAGAAGTAGCCAGGCAGGGGAGAAGAATAGGCGGTGAATACATCATCCCGATCAGGCACTAGGCATACGTATATCTCTGCAGTCTATCTTTGAGCCGAGTTGACGTTCGTCGGTTGTTAATCTCACTTTCAGTTATATGTGTTATTTAATGGTCTGCAATAGTTTCCGTGACCTTGCGTTGAAGAGCGGTTGGCCGCCGTTCTTGCGGTTTTGCCTTGTCCAACGTCCCACCTGTTGCTGCGATTTTCTGGACTACATTACTTGTGGTATTTTTTGTTGTGGTAATAAAATCGTTTTTAGCGTCGTCGTGATTTTCTGCTGTCGAACGTTGTTTAGGTCAGCGATGCCGTAGAAGACGTCTCCTGTCGATTGGACAAGCATGGATTCAGAGGGTACCGAGCAAGTACTCAAATGATTGGCTTTGGGTGTAAAGATAACGACATACACAGCAGCACCAACGCACTGTCAGCCTAAAACCACGCGCTTGGGATTTGCGCGACGGAAATTTAAAAAGGTTTTGGCGACGAAAATTCTACAAGGTTTTCTGGGGCGTTGGGATTGCTAGGCAGGCTACCCGCCTTGTCACGGAAGCAGTGTTTAGCCTATCGTGTGACAGTGGAATAGTTGGCGTGAAGTCCACGTCGGCGAGGCAATAACGTCGTCGGACTATGCCTTTCCGAATATACAGCTGGTTTTATATTGAAATCTGTTCCGAGCTATGGCATAAAAAGAAACTGGGATGACGGAAACACGTTTTTTTTGCCGTTTTCAGGCCAGCATCCGTAAGCTCACGAAAGTACAGCTCACGAAGGAGGGTTCTTCCGCCCAAGCTGGCCTGACACGGTACACCAACGTTCGCTTGAGTCGGCTCACGACGTCGATAACTCTTCTTGCAGTGGGCTTTTTTCCCGACCCCACCGTGGTGGATATCCAAGAGAGGTGCCAATCTTCTGCAGGATAGATTTCTTGAAAAACGTCAAGCAATGGCAGCGCCTAAGCGGTGTGTTCTCGTGGGGACAGCGGGTGAAGCTGGTACACAAGGACTGGTGTTGGATTCTCGAGCGCCGTAAGTGCTTGGTCGCAATCCTCTGGGATCAGCAGCCAAGAGTTGGGGGGGGGGG